GCCTCAGTTCTTAAAAGGGATCTGTGACTTGGCAAATACCTGAGCAATTTAGGATAGAAGAGTGCATCTTCCCTTCTGGAAAGCCACCCCTGGCACAAATCTCAGGGAGAGCCCTGCTGTGGGATGGCCACATGCAGGGAGCTGATGAGACCAGTCACAGATTTTTCCCGTTGCCTGTGTGAGCATAGAGATGCCATCTCATTCTTTTTCTTGGTTTGAAGTTTTGGAGAAGATTTTTTTTGGAGGGATTTAATCACTGACCCTCTGAAATTTCCTTTCCTCCACTTTCTTTTTCCTTCAAACCCACCTCTTCCCCCCTACACCCCCTCAGATGTGAATGTTGATTTTTAATCACTCGCCCTAAATCAAAGGTTTTCAATGGGAGAGGCACAACTGAAGATGTCTTGTCCTCATCCCTCCAAAACTGCTCCTTTCTCAACTCTGAAAGCAGCACCATATATAATGGTTTCACCAAGCTTTTGCTGTCACTGCTACTAAAAATCCTGATTTAATTCACAGTCATTGCATTTGAGTGAAAAACTTCCCTTATCACTGTAGGGAAGAGGAAGGAATAGATACTCAAGGTGCAATTGCTGTGATTCCTAAATGAGTCATGAGTTTTGATGCTGAAAGAGCGACCTTGTCCTCATCAACTACGTGTGTGGCTCTGCTTTCTAAGGTGAAAGATGGGATTGCTGTCTGTTCTGCACCTGGTGATTCAGATTTGAGGATAGTAGCTTCCATAGCCCTGACAGTTGGAGTTGACCAGCTTTGGGGATAGAGAGCTGCCCTGTTCCAGAGTGCCCTGTTGCAGTTAGGAGGCTGTTTACCCCAGTGGGTAAAGGGGGAGCAGAATGGGTGCTCAGATTATTTGAACTGAGTTGGCTGTGAAATAGAGGCCCTGTGAAAGCTCTTTCAAAGAGGACTGTTTTCCTGTCATGATAAGATACAGGAACACTTTTTAAACAATCATGCTTTCCTCAGAGTGGATTGAACTTTGGAGAGAGGCAGAAAAATGCCTTTTCTGAGACCCACCAAACTATGAGTTAAGCTGAGGTGCACTTAGGTTATGTCTCCAGCTCAGTATTCAATGGTGCTTTGCTCTAAAAGGGCATGGGTGGTGTTTCATTTACATGGACTACTGACCTGTGTCCTAAAACTCTCACCTAACTGTCTTGGTTCTCTAGCTACAAAGACTCATTAATGGAGACAGAAATTTCTTGCCTCCCCAGCCAGGAAAAAAAACAAAGCAAAGGATGGGCGAAAGGGAGCTGGGGGTTGGAGACAGAACTCTCAGAGAGACTTTGCTGGCAGATGACTACAGTGGAGCTCACATCCCTGTTCAGCACATCTGTCCCTCCAGAGTAGCTGATGGCATATGTGAAATGCAGCAAGTCCTCAGGCTATTGTGTAACTTGGGGGATGCCTGCAGCCACTGTTCATAATTAATCATTTAAGCAACAGTAAAATCAAGTGACTTTACTGACAGTATCCAAACTGCTGACCTCAATGCATTTTAAAAGTTCGCTGGATACTGAACCTCAAATGACCCATGGATGGATCTGGAATAATAATTTTCATAATCCTCAAGTCATTATCTTAAGAGGGAACGTATTGTTCTCCTAATTAAGTCTGTCCACACGCTGTGCAGCTTCCCATGCAAATGCACTGTGCATAAACTAATTAAAAGAAATATACAGCCACAAGGACTTAAACGGTCTTTTATGCAATCTCTTTAAATTATAGTCTCCCTCCTCCCCCCTCATGCACACAAACTAACAAGGGATTCAGCATCATATTCAACAGGGAAAACCACTGAGCAGTTTTGGATCAGAATCTGGAATCCCCCAGAATTTATTAGAAAGCTTTTGTTTTATGACATTTTTGTGAGGGCCCTGGATGTGTAGAAGACCCTAATTAAGTGAGAGTTATGATCGTTTAATAGGAGACAGTCCCTGCCCTGAAGAGCTTACAGTCTAAACAGACAAGACAGCCAAAAGCTGAAAAAGCCTTGTTTTGCAGTTGAACAGCTCAGCCATTGGAAAGTTGAATGACTTTTTCAAGGTCATACATACAGAGCTGGGAACTGGAGGCAGACTTACTCCAGCACTGTAAGTACCTGAGTCTTCTACCTTTAGTAGTAGACCCAAAGGACATAATATATAGAAACTTATCTGGTGCAACAGCACCAAAGTGCAGTTTCCCAGTGAAACTCACTGGTATTTTGTTGGCTGGGAAATGGCTGTGAGACTGCGTGGCTGTTTTCAGTAGTTGTTTCATATTCTCTGGTGTGGTGGAGGCTATGTCCCTGGAAAGCAGTATGTTGGAGGCATGTGACTGTCTTAAAACATTTTCTGCCATGTCTCCCCACTTAGACCTCAGCAACACTGTGCAGATATAGCAGAAGTCTCCTGTGCCATCAGTGTCTATGTTCATGCTGTCTGTGTGCCTCATGTTGGATTCTGAGTTTGATGAACCCTGGTCTGGCCTCTATTTGGTTATGAACATGAATGAAGCAAGATAAATAAAGGGTATCATCAGGGTCAGCCCTTTTGCTGTTATTTCCCCTGGAACTGTTGCTAACACTGGCTTCTACTTCGCAGAAGAGGAGTGGGAGCTCTGGATGTAGGATGTCCTGCTTGCTGTTTTCACTCCTCTCCTAGTACACATATCTGGCATCTGTGTGTTTGCCAGAGCACTGTGGTGCAACTGCTTGCTCTCCTCCTGTAAAAAATCAAAAACAGCTGAAGTGTTTTGTCTAATACATGATGATAGTCTCCATGGGTGCAGGAAGAGATGTCTGTACATATTAACATGCTAGATTGGAATGTAGCTTAAACCAGTGGGTACAGCAGCAGGAGAACTTGGATTTTTTTGTCTTGCTCAGACTTTCTCCCACAAAAACCCTTCTTGGCTGCTGAGGTTATGAGATTCTCCAGGTTAGGTCTGAGTCATCTTATTTGGAGCAACAATCTTGTAAACTGAATCCGAGTTCAATGTTGAAGCACCCCAGTGTTTTCACTGGTCTGAATGGTCTTCAATGGGTTTGGTGGTAGAGGACTGGCATTTGAAAATCTCACATGCATGACTGTAGACCTGCCATGCACAAAGACCATGAGTGACAGTTCATAGCAAACAGAACAGCCAGCAAAGGAATAGTTTGTGAGTAGTCTGACCTGAGCAAAGTACCCAGACAAAGAAACTGGTATTTTCACTGGGGCAAACTGGGGCAATGCAGCCATGCCCATCCATGGGAGAGGACACAAGCAATTGTTGTGCTGCTCTGAACCAGGTAGAATGATATCAGCTGCTAGATGAAGATGGGCTGTGTAGGTCACAGCCCTGCAGAAGCCTAAGTTCTGCCAAATAGACATTAGTTGGTGGCTGCAGCTTCTGAACGAGTGATATCTGCAATTATTGAGGCAATGGAGCTGCTTCAAACACAGCCCATCAATATGTGTGAATGCCATCCATGGTGGGACTTGTTCAGGGGAAAATGACAACCAAGCCCTTAACAACCTAAGCATGGCTGGATAGGAATTTGCACATAAATTTTGAGGAAGCACAGGAATTTTCTTGCTCTCTTTTTTTAGATGGACGTTTGCAAGTGCAAAGTGGATGATGAAATTTCCTTAGGCTGGTCTTGATTACTGTCTTGTTCTTTGCATGTGGCAGGTTCCCTGACAGCATCCCTACTGATGCAGCAGTCATTGAAAAAAGCAGCTGGAAAAGGAAGGTGAAGAAGAGCCTGGCCTTGGAGCTGGGAGGCCCCTCAGCACAGCATCAGAACTGGAGTGAACGAGCAGTTCTCCGCTTATCTGATGTAGCCTGGAGAGCAGACAGATAGGACTGCAGCAATCAGTATGATGGGAATGCAGTGGGTGGACTCTATCAGGAGAAAAGAAACCCTCCCCTCTATGGATGAACCTTCATCCCTCAGTGTCCCCCCTCTCCAGCCCTCATTCCGGTAAGAGGGGAGGATCTTTTCCCCATCCAGTGATGAGATGAAAGAGTGCCCCCCATTTGACACTTCATGAGTTGGCTGAACCCAACAAAATGATCTTCATAAAATCCTGATTCCAAAGCATCAAAGCCTTTTCCTGACTGGTAAAAACCCTAAAAATTCCTGGAAGAACTGCCAAAGGGCAATGGGGCTGATTCTGTCAACTGCCTTTGGTTAGAGCTGGGTTTGGTTATTTATGGGGGCCGGGGGAGGCAAGAACTTTCCAGATGGGCGGCTCAACCAAATATAACAATGATAAAAATCAATTCAGTTATGTGAAGGGGAAAGAATGCCTGTGCTAAAGGGCCTGCATGAGGCACATGCTTTTCTGTGCTGAAACATCCCTCAGTACGGTGCTTTTCATGGTATCCCACCCCATCCCTGCACATTGCACAGACACCTCTGTGTCTGCTGAAATGTGCCTTTTGCTGGGGGGATTCTGGCTTGATTTAATGGTACCTGCCTAATGAGACCACACTGATTGAGTACCTTGTGCAAGGGAGAAGATAGCTAGGAGTCAGAACTGAGTGGGGGAAGAGAAATATCTGGTAAGAGAGGAAATTTGATGGAGAGGATTGGAGCTGGTGACTGCAAACAGTCTTTATGCTAATGCACTGTTGGGTTTCCTATGTTAATGAAACTTTGCATGCCTGTATGGGTTCTTAATATAGCCATAGAATTAGCCAGTCCAATATCTTCACCTTTTTAGTGCTGATCTTTATTTTTGGAGCTATCCTTTGGTGGAAAACCTCAAGTACTGTCATGGAAAGGAGATGCAAATAATTGTCCTTTGGGTAATTCCTTTTTTCCGCTGAACACTCTTGTACTTCATAGAATCCTAGAATGGTTTGAGTTGGAAGGGACCATGTAGTCCCAACCCTCCTGTTGTGGACAAGGATACCTTCCACTAGACCAGCTTGCTCAGACCCCTATCCAACCTGATCTTGAACTCTTTCTGTCTGGTATTTGCACTCCTTGGCCTAACCTGTTGACCAATATGTGTTTATACTGTTGAAAAGGTGGTGAGGTTGCCTACTGAGATAGGCCTACTGAGGTTGCTGTTCATCACTGTGCAGTGAACTCCAGCTCTGTAGGTAAGTGTGATTAAATTGGGGGAATTAGTCTGTCTAATCCATCAAGACAGAGCCTTATTGAGTTGGATTTCTTTATTTAGGTCAAATTCTACACCTGTGTGAGTGGTCCCACCGTTGGGTTGCCTTTCCACAGTCTGCTGTCTTGAGGGAGCCCAGGCCTGGCCACAGTCATCAGTCAGCTAAGATGCTTCCTCCTCTCTGCTCCATAGCCACAAATGGGCCCTGCTTGCAGCAATTCAGCAGGAAAGGGCCAGGATGAGGTGAGTGATTTGTTTGCTACTCAGATGGCAGGACCCTTGTTTCTTGTTAAAGGCCCATTAGATAAGAGATGCCATTGATGTTTCAAGGTGTTCTTATCTTATAGGCTTTAGTCTGAAACAACACCACTCATCCACACTTTCTCTCCTGCTTGGTAATGAAAATGGAGAATTTTCTTCTGCTGTTTTCAGTCTCTGGAATGCCCCTAGACAAAAGAATTTTTCAGACACATCATTCCCTTTTGTGAATCAAACTCTAACCCCTTAATGTTCAGCAAATAATTTGTTCCAAAGGGACTGTGTTGTGTGTGATCGTAATTACATTTGGGTTTTAATAATCATAAACACTCCTGTTTTCTAAGAACCAGCTAAACTGATTTCCAAATAATTTAGTTTGAATGGCATGTTTTGTGTTTGTGTAGCATCTTCTCCCTCATACACACTTCTGAAGAAAAACAAACAATGTATTGAAAAAAAAAAAAGGCAAGTGTGGGGGGAAAAAAACCTTGGAGAACTTTAAAAGACTCTAAACCTGAAAAGGGAGGGTGGGATCAGCTAATTTGTCCCTCTTTTGTATGGTTTATTAAGCCTTTTGTTCTGGAACGCATGGGTTCAGTGGGAAAGCGGTTTTTGATATATAATGTATTTACTTTTGCTAATTAATTAAAGCAGTATTCATATGAAAATGCCGACTGATAATGGCTTTCACAGCAACAACTGTGTTTTTTAAAGTAGCAACTTTTAATTACAAATTGACTGGCAGAAATATATAAACCCAAATATTGTTCCACTGATTTCCTTTTAACTGTGTTACTCTTGCTTGATTTATCGGATTAGGGCTTTTCACACATAGTGCGTACAAGATATTGTTTTTAATGAGAAATTAAAAGATTACCAACAATACCCATAAACCATTAAAAAAACACAAACTCTAGATGAATGGTAATTAGACAGAATGATTTGAGGCTGATAAATTGAAAGCAATTAATGTATTTGTTTGGGATTCTGAAGATAGCTCTGGGTGTTCCAGAAAGCACTGAAGGGTTCAGATTTGGTGCCAAATTGCGTGTGGAGATACCTGCACCGCTTCAGCTGTCCCGGGCACCAGTGGAGGAGGTGCTGACAGGGTTCCCCTGGGCTGAGGTGAGGAGTTACATGAAGGGGTTTTGTGGGGAGAACTGAGGGGATGTGTCTGGGCAGGGCTTCATTGGATCAAACCTTTTCTGTGTTTCACTGTTTTGTGTGACATAACGTAAGGAAAAACTTCACAGAGTCACAGAATATGCTGAGCTGGAAGAGGCCCATCACTGAGTCCAACTCTTAGCCCTGCACAGGACCATCCCCAAGGGTCACACCGTGTGCCTGAGAGTATCAGAACTCGAGAAGGTAAGAGGGGAGAAGTGCTGAGGAGAAGTAAAGTTTTCTCATCTGTGCTGTGGTTTATCAGGATTGCATCTTCTGCTCAACTCGAGCAACCCCGAATCAGTAAGCCTGCATGAGATGCTCTCTTTTGGGAGATGACGAGGTTGCATTTGTTAATGATGGCTTGTAACCCCAGCAAGAGCATCCTGTTTCTATTCTTTCTCTTATTCTTGGCAAAGCAAATGTTTTGGGATTCTGTTTCAGCAAAAGGAAGTACTCTCGGGTGGTGATGCCTTTTGATATTGTTCCTTGTTCTTGGGTCTAGAACAGAGCTCACCATGATTTCCCATCTCAGGAGAATTTCTCAGCACAAGAAAAATAGCCAAAATCAAATAATCTCCTAAATTGGGATAGTGATGTCTTCACTCAAAAATCTTAAAACAAAATAGCCCTCCCCACCATAAGAGCTAAAGCCCCAGGCGACATACGATCTGAACAACCAAAACATCTAATTTCAATTTTTGCTATTTTTATTTCAAGTCTTGTCCAAGTGTAAATTAGAGCATTGAAATGAAGAGTCAAGACAAACAAAAACCTGAAACCTTTCACTCATTTTCCCCCAGGTCAGGAGTATCTGTCAGAATCAACCCTTTCTTACACACATCTTCTTCATGATAATTTAAGATTTCTGATGAGGGGTGGGGTATTTTTCATGGGAAAAAAATCTTGACATGGAATTCTGTAAGTAGAATTCCTTCTCCACCATAGGCTTATCTCTCTGTTCCAATCCCTCCTTCAGATGTATTACTTCCACAAGGCTTTTCAGTGCTTATCCACTGTAGAAAGAAATGCATTATTTAACAAGGCAGGAGCAAGAGAACAGTGTATGTCCTTCGTGTTCAACCATCAGTTAAGGGTATCTTGTTCAGGGAACCAGGTTTTCAAAGGAGCTCAAGCAGTTCGCAGAGTGGACACTGGTGGGTGCTCAGTTCTTTTGAAAACCTGGTCATTGCATTCTGAGTGAAAGTTGTCGGACTGAACGAGGGTTGTTTTTTGAGGTTTTGCCCCCAAAAAATGATGTTCTCCATGGAAACGCTGTGGCTTGTCGAATCTAGGGCCCAATTTGCTTACTTGTTGACTGTCTCTGAGGCACACTGAGGTCTTGCAGGCTCTGAAGTTTACACTTGCAGGAGTAGGAGCCCTGTCTTTTCTCCCTGTGACTCCATCCCCTGCAGCACACTCTGGCTCTCGTGGGGTGATTTGTTACAGCTCCTTTCTGTCCTGCTGGAGTCAGGGTTGGGTGCAGAGAAAAGCAGGTGTGTTAGCAAGGAGTGTCTTGCTTCCAGGGATGAACTGGACAAGGTTCCACTTCAACCAGCAACCTTACTCTGGGGAACATTTCCTGGGTTGTTGCCACTGCTGTGAAGTAGCATCTTGGGTATTGCATTTCAGTATTTTTTCATTCCTCATGCACTGGTTCAGCCATCAAATTAACAAATAAGTTTCTTAGAGGAGCCACCTGGGACCTATTGCACAAGCTGGACGCCAGTAAAATCCAGTCGCATGTAGCAAAAGGGAAAAGACCAATAAGGAAACAATAACAGAAAAGCATTGTTAAAAAGGCATATGGGTACAATGTTGCTGGCCCAGTTAACTAACCTGTTCTATTCAGTAGTGCAATAAAATCCCAAGTAATTGCAAATGAAACTTAATGCCTTGTAAAAGAACTCAGCTCCCTTCTTCCGTGGCCGCAGCTTTTTGAACTGAAGGCCGGGTCCAGCAGGAGGTGTATGTGTGCTGCTCAGCCTGAGGAGGCTTTGGGGAAACAGCTGATCGGCACTGTCCACAGCTAAGGTTGTTTGAAACGCTCCGGCTTTTTCGGCCAGCCCAGCCTTCTGCAGGAGGGTGTGGAATGGGGGCAGCACATGGAGAATTTGACCTCGACCCTGTGCGTGTGGGATCCAGCGTGTTCTGGTCTTCCCCCGCAGGCGCAGGAATCACTTCAGACTAGTCCAGCCAGGACGCTGCTGAGGTGGTGGTTACTTTTTGCCTCTATTCTCAAATCCCTGTGTTTCATCATCATCCTGACTAGAGTGGTGGGCTCAAAAGCCCTGCAAAAGCAAGGCAGAGAAGCCTTCTTAACCTTGTCTGTGTGTGTGTATTCCTTCAGGCCTTTGATCCAGACTTTTTCCTGAATTTTCACACGACATGATTCCTGCCTGCTTCAAGCAAACCCCATTTGTTTTGGGGAAAATAGATTTGTGATTTTGCTCTCTGTTACAGATTTTGGATAGTAATGGTTTCTTTAAGTCATAGGGCTAAATCCTGATTGCTTTTCCTCAGCTCTCAAGTCAAACTTCCTTTATGTGAATAAGAAATATGTAGGAGGAGGGGATTTGCAGCCACCAGTCTTTTCCAATGAGGATAGTGATATTTTTTTATTGTTTAGTGCCTGGTCTTTGGGAATTAAATAACTGCTTGAGAATTTTAGCTTCATTTCAAAGGCATATTTCTAGTCCTTGTGTTTGTGTGAACTCCACACCCCACCCTCAAACCCCAGTAATTTGAAAGTGTGACTTGATTATGCCTGAAAGACTCAGGATCCAGAAGGCAGAGAAAAACAACCCATAACTGATTGTTATTAAAAACAAACACCACTACCCTCTCCCCAAACTGATGGTATTTGAATTCCTGGGTTTGCATTGCTGATTTGGGGCCAAGGGAACAGAAGGCAGGTAGAAGCCTGACTTGCATTAGAACAGAGAAGCAAGAACCCAGCAGTTTGCTTGAAAATGCCCTGAGCCTGTTAAGCCTGGTGTCCAAGTGCCTACAAAATGATGTGAGCAAGGGTTGAGTGCCATGGAGGGAAATACCAGCCCTTAGAGAAATCCTTCCTGCTTCCACACATAAACCCTCATTTTTCAGGAGAGAAGTATCACTCCTGCAAAAGATATCTCCTCCTTCTCCTTCACCAATCAGGTTTTCATTAAATTGAAATGCTTTTTTTCTCCACATGATTAACTGTAGTTGGTAAATAAAGCTGCGAATGGCCCTTTAGAGTTCAAATTATGGTTCTAGCTGCCCACACTAGTTAAAAATGTGCAGTGTCCTTCTTTCCCAGCATGAGCTAGCAGAAGTCATGGGGTGCACTCTGAGAAATAGCCCCTGCTTTCTTTATTGTTGTTTTTTCCTTCCTCTGATGGCATGAGTCAGGGGAACTGTCCGTCTCTGGACCGACAGCGTCTCCATTTTGGCAGTTAATCTGCCCGTTTCATTGTTCAACTGAGCTGTGGCATGCTCTGAGGTTTATCTTCATTCTCTATAGTTGACAATAAAGGGGCAAATTTCTGAAATTCTAGCAGGATTTCTAGAGGAACTTCCTTCCCCTTTTCCCCCCTCAAAAGGAAGCAACCTCCTGCAAACACACTAGCCCATTGCTTTTCTTACAGGGTTAGGGCTGGCATCCTTTGTTAGCTTCCTGAATAACCATGGGTTTGACTTGGCTTCTCTCAAGGTTCTTGCTGAAATTGGTCCAACACTTTATCCTCACATCCACCCACACATGTGAATTCCTCAGTGTCATTAGTTGGTTAGGATCCATGTAAGTCATGGCATCTCTTCGTCTTTACCCCTTCACCCATGCCTGTTAAAAACTGTGTGGTGTTTAACATGGAGGTAAATATATACAAGGTAGGGATAAGGAACTAAGAGAGGAGAACAGTGAAGACACAGTCTGTGGAGTCTATTAGGCCATTTCAATAATGAAATGCAAGACTGTGCCTTAAGGCTGGATATGAAGTCTGTGGAGCCAATGGAGAGGTTTGTGTTTATGTCAGTGAACTTTGGATCAGTCCCTTCAAAACCAACAAGGAATGTGGTCCTAATAAGATGATACCACTGTGGCAAAAGATAGGGCTTAGCATCTAAGCAGGACCCTAAATAAGACCTTGGGTCTTTCAGAAATGCTCATTAGGAAAGGGACAGATTCTGTACTCAGGGATGATTACAGCAGAGACCAGTGTATTTTCAAATCTGGTTCCAGTTGTAGATATCGAATGCATGAAATCTAGTTCTGAACAAATTTTTAAAGACTGCCTCCCCTTCCATGTCAAAACTAAATTTTGCAAGGTGTTATGTTCCTTCCATTTTTAGGGCTACACATACGCACAGTCAAGGACTTAGGAGGATCATCGTTGGGAAATTAAAAAGAAAAATTGAGATTAAAAAGTTTGGATGTTTAGATCAAGGATACGGACATTTGAGATCATTTTAGAAATGGCAGGGCAGCCAGCAGTTTCACCACCAGATCTTGGTTTGAACTCTGAAACCAGCAAAGTTGGGGTATGTGATCCCAAGACTGGGGTTGTCTAAACATGGAAATCGCTCAGAACTCAAGTCAGCAAAAATGTGTGTAAAGGCACTGAATAAATGCAGCGGTCATGGGTAGCTAATCTTCCCACTCAGAGCTCTGGTGCTCTCAGTATGCAGCCATTATCCTCTAAAATACTACCTGTCCCATTGCAGTCTGGATTTGGTCTCCTTGCCTGTGGATTAGACATAAGGAATATAAAACAAAATACATGCACAAAACCCCTGTGTTTCCTTTGCAAAATCAGGCTGTGCACATAGCTAATTCTTTTCATGTTAATCTACACTTACAACCCGATAACAAGCTAGAGCTTTCTTCTAACCAGGCTTGATTAAATTTGGAAGATTTCTTCCCAACAGGAGAAGCCCTTTCTGCTTTCATGCAGTAAACATGATTTTGTGCTTTCTGTATT